TGGGAGGGAAGTGGTTTGAGCTTCCAAACCCGGGCTGGGTGAAACGGCAGAGACGCAGGTGTGACGTTGGGGGGAGGCGTCCTGTTCCCTCGCATCATGCCTCACCGTGTCATCACCCCCCCAAACTCGAAACACTAGGCCCCCATCGCTCAGCTCTGCTCTGCTGCTGTTCCTGCCTCTGCCGTCCCGAGACCCACAAAGCCCCACCAGCTCTGGCTTCCTGTGTGCCCAATGAACACTCTCTCTTCTCCCCCCAGGTAGCTCTTAGGAGACAAGAGGGGTTAAAATCCAACTTGAATTAAAGTTGTTATGACTGATAGACCAATGTAATTGCAATTTGAAAAGACTCCGTTAAATTTCTTAGCTGAAAGGTCCTTAGCAATCGCTTCCAGTGGTTTTTGAAAGATTTTATTGAAGGCCAAACACATCTTAAGCACGATCTCGACCTGCAAAGCAGAGAAATGCAGTCCTCCCTTGGCTCCCTGCCCTTTCAGCCTGACTTTTACATTCCTAAAGGGGCTTTTGGAACAAGGGTTGTAAACCACTGATTATACCCTTCATTCTAAAAGCAAACTGGGGCCCAGATAAAGTGAGTTATTCCAGGTTATACGGCCAGATAGTGCAAAGCTGATCCTTGTCCCCAGGTCTCCTGACCGATGACCTACTGCTCCTGTCCCTGACCCATGACACCCGGGCACTTCCTCTCTCACACCTCATCCCTGCAGCTGGCTCCGCCAAGCACAGCCGCCACCAGCCTCGTAACATAAAGAATGTTCACCATGCCCCACACTTCATGCTGGAAGTCACCTCTTTCCTACTGCTGTTAATTTTTATGACCCAGTTGCTGCTGAGAGCAAATGCAAAAGAAAGGCAGAGACACAGGGCAGATTTTGCTCATTGCATGTTTTCATTTTTAATTAAATAAGTCAAGTAAGCCATCAGGCGATGGGTTCACATTCTATTCCGCAAAGCAGACCCTGACCGCCGGCAGAGGCCAGCTCCCTGAAGGGCAGCCCTAGCGTTTCCAGGAGACGGCAGATTGTCTGTGGCCACGGCAAGGACATCTGGGATGGCGACGGCAAGTGGGGCTGGGAGCAACCTGTTGGGGAGCCAGAGGCTGAGCAGAATGAGCTACACACGACACATACACACATGTGGACACACGTGTATATACCCTGGCCAAGCATGGCATGAAGGGGATGTCTTGTAGCATGTGGCCATGAAACACGGTACAGGGCCGAGGTCTTGTCAAAAACACAGCATGTGCAGGACCCAGGAGGGAGCAGGGATCCAGGCCAAGTTGGATGAGAATATACAGATGAGATGGAGACTTCAGGGGGGCCCAGCTCAAGCCCAGTGTTGGAGGAAGCAGCCTACAGGGGCGTTCTATTCCTCAAATAAAGTGCCTGGTCTACAACATGAGCTAGGGCCGTGAAGATGGAGCCATGTCTGCATCCGTGGGAATACGTAACAGATTTGTCCCCCAGGGGATGCCAAAGGACACAAGACCAAAAGGATCTTGAAGCTCTTAAATCTGAAGTTGCCAATTCTGCTTTGTGCTTTTGAGGTAAAGAGGAGCTTCCACTACTTCCGAATCTGCGAGCAGTTGAGGGGTGACGAGGCTGCGCTCAGGAACCCCTCAGTGCAGCTGCCCGTCACACCAGCCTCTGGCAGGAGCCCCCAGGCTGAGGGTGCTGGCAGATGTGGAGTAAACTCGTCACGAAACATTTCTTTTCTCTCATTTCGTTATTAATTTTCAAGTGTGTGTGTCACATGGAGGGACAAGGGCTAGAATTTGGTTATGTTCCTCAGCCTTTGGAGAGTAACTTGAACTTGGGCGCGCTACAGAGCTGCACAGCCGGGCTCCTCTTCCCCTTTCCTGCGGACTTGGGAATCGTGCTCTCCACTGACTACTCCCAAGGACACCCCAGGGTCCTCACCCACTCCGCGGTTTATGAGCAGGCAGCGGGGCCCTGGCCCTCCTGTATTAGACACTGCCCTGTCTCACCAAGGCCTGGGACGTTCTGAACCACGTACCCAGGCTGCGCTAAAGAGCTCATCGGCAAGAAGGAGAATGAGTACTCTCCTTGCTGAATGGGCCTCTTGTGCTGGGGAAGCTGGTGGCCTGCGAAGGGGCGGCCTCGCTGCTCCCACTGTCTCCAGGTAGGTGGGCTCTGTGGACAGGAAGGCTCTTGGTGGGGCCAGCTGGAACACAGCAGCAACCGGGGCTGGCCGCTGCCCCTATCTGGACCACCTGCTCCATCCACACGGAAAACCCCAAACGCACGACTCCAACCACGTCCACAGAGAGTCAAGCCAGTAGGTACCCCCACAGTGTCCTTCCCCAAACCCCAAGGGCTCCCAAAGCATCACTGAGCCCCAGGGGGCTCCGTTTCAAGGCAATACCCACCCATTTAAGTCGTACCCTGTCTCAGACACCTGGGCAAAGGTAACACAGCAGAAAGGGCCCAGGGTTGCATCTTCAAATCCACAAGAGAGAAACCAAGGATTCTCCTGGAACAATGTCCTGGGGCCGCCATGACGCTGGTTCACTCCCCTCTTGTATTTCGAATTCTCTTTGGGTGTCCTTGTGTGTATGGTGTGTGTGAATGGTTTCTATTCTTTTGTCTTTCTTGATTTGGGTACCACTTTGAGTCCCTGCAAATAATAAGGTATTTTCTGTCTCTTTTCACAAAATAAATAAATTAAGTCAACTTGCAACGTGCACATTGTCAACGTCCTGAGAAGTCCGAAAGGTCCATTCTCAGTACCGTCCTCACAGAGCTGAGACATGCATGGCCTTGGCCCCAGAGGCACAGGAAGGGAGGATGAAGTTGGCTGTCCCCACACCAAGAGGGGGCCCGTAGGAAGAGCCCCGGATGGAGGTGGCTGGCCCCCAGCCCCAGTGGGGAACCGAGGAGGGAGCAGGGTGGAGACTGGGGAAGAATGGGCAGCACTTCTGGGCCTGCCAGAAACATCCTGGCCCCACTCTGCCCCACGGTCAAGTTTTCAGAACTGGTGTCTCTTTGGAACTCCAAATTAGAACCATCTCCCTACACAACTTATTCTTGGACTGTAAAACCAAGAGTGGAGACCTCCTTGAATGACTGAAGTCCCTGGAAATAGAGACCCCACAGCTCAAATACACTGATTCTACCAAATCCCACAAGATGGCTCCTGTCCTCAAACAGTGGCTTCGTGCTAGGACACACTCTTCCCTTCCCCAAAGCAACACCAGCTGGACTCAGATCCTGTAATTCCCTGGTATCCGTATTACTCAACCCAAAACTCAGCCCTGCGGGTTTGACAATGGGTTGTATCTGACAGAGAGGTTGTCCAGGAAATCAGAAACAGTGGAGTAGCCCATGGTGAAGCTCCCTGCAAGCTCCAAGGCGGTACTGAGTTCTGCTTCCTGCGTGGGGTAAGAGTGTGGAAGGGCTTCCACTTTGGAGATACTCCAAAGTCGTAAGACCCCTGTCCCCTCAGGAAACCTGTCGGGGATTTTCCAATCTATCCTCTTCTCAGGGAGGGGGTAAGGGTCACTATTTGTATTCCTTCTGGACACTAAGCAAGAACACTGGTAGTTTCTGAGATTCATTCCACATGGGGTTCCAACAGAAAAGCCCGTGGGACACTGTGGGCTGCCACGTGGCCACCTAGGCTCCATCCTTCTTGGGGACGTCTCCTTTTCCCACCCTTTCCCTCTGCCAGGAGCCAAGTGCTCCCTGCTGGCTTTCCCAGGCCCCCTCTGGCCCTAAAGCCCAGACTGCTTCAGGGTCACAGTCCTGCAGAAACAAAACCAAAAACATAGCCACAAAATGAGACACTAAGCCATAAATAACCTAAAATCCCCAAATAAAACACCCAGCCCATACTGAGTTGAGCAATACTCTTCCCAGAGCCCTAAAGGAGGAATTCCAGATATCGCTGTAACCATGGTGACCAACTGGCTGACCTCTGTCCACGAGGGAGAAGGCAGGCTTCTCAGGGGAGGGGCGCATCCTGATGTGACTTCTCCCCCAAGAGCACTCTGTACTTTCTTCTTGGCCCTACCCCAGCTGACGCCTGGCGGGAAATGGCAGGACCGTGAGCTGCCTTTTGTCTCCAGGGACCACAGCTGCTTCTGCCAGTCAGGCCCCAGGCAACCTTCAAATATGGACATGTTCTCAGGGAGCCAGCTGAGCTGGACGGGCCTTTGGCCACACCACTTCAAAACATCCTGCCTGCCAGCCGTGAGGACGTGGAGGGTGGGTCAGAGGAGGTAGCCACTAGAATCCAAGGTGGGCAGGGCTTTGGACTCTGTAGTTCTGAATCCATTCAGTCCCAAACTTGGGCAGGGTACCGTGTCATTGCCTCCACCGTGTTTCCTCCCTCTGCCTCTCTAAATAGTCCTAAAAATGCAATTAAAGACTTCTCTTCAGATCTGATACAGATAAACCCTGTGGGCATAAAGCAACAGGAAAGGGTGTCTGTATGTGTGTGCTTGTGTGCTTTTACGGTGCATTTCTGTGTGTGTGGTCTGCTCATAATGGATATCTTTATATTCATGTGTGTGTTTTGCTGCTCTACACAGGGCTGACATCCATCAGTAACCAGAACAGCTATCCCATTTATGAAGACATCGAATCATTCTGTACTGGCAGGTAAACAGCCACTGTCACTTTATGAGCCTCAAATGCCACCCCTGATACCCTGGGCTGTCCCAGCATCTCCCCAAGGGCCCACCCAGACAGCCTTCCCCCACTATCCAGAAAAGAAAGGTTTGCAATGGTCAAGGGGTGGCCGACTGGGACTGGCCAGTGCCTATGCCCCTTCCGGTTGTTAAATATTTGGACCCTGGCCCACAGGGTCTCCAGGCATTGATGCATGTTTCATGTATGTGTGTGTGTGTGTGTGTGTGTGTTGTGTGTGTGTGTGTGTGTGTGTGTGTGTGTGTGTGTGTGTGTGTGTGTGTGTCAGAGAAAGAGAGAGAGAGAGAGGCTTGTCAATAGGCCCCGGCCTGTCCGGGCCTGCCCAGGAGGCTGTAGCTCCTCAGGTCTGGGTGTGACGTCCCACAAAGGGACCAGGCACCGTCCTGTTCTCAGAGAGAAACCCAGGGCCTGTGGCCGTGGCGGGGCGCTAGCTGGCTGGGGGCCTACTGCTACAGCGAGGGGCTGCCCGCTCACAGGGCAGCGTCCCACCCGCCCTCGGCGAGGGCTGCATTTCACCGCTGGCCTGGGTGTGAGGAAGGCAGGGCGGGCCTTTTACCAGGAGGGGTACACAGGGCTCCAGGCCCCCTACGTGACCCAGAAGGTGCCCCGTTCCTCCAGCAGGCTGACGGAGCGGTTGGTGAGGGAGGCGGCATCCCGTGCCAGTTTGTAGCCGAAGAGGTGCATGGCGGGGCCGCAGGCGGCCTGCACCACCTCGGCCAGCTTGAAGGGCATGCTGAAGCGCCACTTCTCGAACTGCTCCGAGGAGTTCTTCTGGGTGGAGTAGATGCCGCTGCTGTCGCGGGCCGCCTGGGTGTTCTTCTGGATCCAGTCCTCCACCTGCGGGGTCAGGGGGATGCCTGCGAAGCGGTACATCTCTCGGGCCTTCTGCAGGGGACTGCGCGCCACGTCCTCGTAGCGCACCAGCATGTAGCGGCCCTGGAGCCAGGCGGGCTGCCGCAGGCCCAGCTCCGCCGACAGGCGGATGCTCTCGCAGTTGCCCCGCAGCCGCTGCACCTCCTCCTCTCTCAGCCGGTCCTCTCCCTCGGCGAGCCACTTCTTCCAGGTCTCGTACTTGCCGGCGAAGGCCACCATGCGGGACGCCAGCACGGCCCGGGGGTCGCGCACCAGCTGGATGACGCGCAAGTCCAGCCGGGGGTCCTCGGCCAGCGGCTGCAGGAACTCCAGCTGCCGGATGCGCACGGCCTTGAGTGCCATGTGCTCCTTGCGGCGGCAGGCCTCGGCGGCCAGCGTCACGTTGAGGGGGCCGCAGCGGCGGTTCTTGCAGTGGTACTTCTCAAAGACCTTCTTGACGAAGGGCGTGCAGACCGGGTCCTCGCAGAGGGAGCGGCTGGAGCCCCGGCGGAACATGAACTGGGTCAGGTGGTCCTCCGGCAGCGGGGTGATGAAGTGCTCCAGGACGTACAGGTCGCACAGGAAGAGCTGCTTGAGCACGTCGCGGTACACCAGCGCCGAGCCCGCGGCGTTGGCGCCTCCCGGCTCGAAGGACACCGTGCGCTCGATGTGCCACAGCGGCTCGAAGAGGTAGAAGATGTTGCCCTGCTGGTTGAAGAACTCGCCCACGAACGAGGAGCCCGTGCGGGTCGTGGCCATGAGGAGCACGTGGCGCCGGGGCGGGCCAGGTCGGCGCGGCTCCGCCTCCTCCTCCTCCTCCCCCAAGGCCTCCCCCGCGGGCTCCACACCCAGCTGCAGGCTGAGGTTGCGGAGACGGCTCTGCAGCTGGGAAAAGGCTGAATCGAGCTCGCTCAGGGACAAGAGGGACGCGTTCTCAGCCAAGACCAGGGCTGGATCGGTGCTGTTGGCATCTGCCAGGGTTTGGGGGATCTGCTTCAGCTTGTCCGAGACCCTGTGAGGACAAAGGAAGACCATGGTCGGTGGCTGATTGAGGACCCCATCTCCTGTGCAACTCTCCGGAGTCTTCCAAGCCAACCACCCAAAGCTGTCTTAGTTGGGTTTCCCCAAAAGCAGATTCTGAGACCAGGAGCTGAGTGTAAGTAGCTTATCTGGGACATGATCACAGGAAAAACTGGGTAGGGGAGTGAGGCAGGGGAGGAAGAGAAGTCCAGGGGGATGTGCTGCCATAGAGCAGGCTACCCCTGGGGCACATGAAGCTCAATCTGACGGAAAACTCTGGGAGACATTTACTCCCTGGTACTCCTGGCCTGCCAGCATGCAGGGGCAGAGAAAGATCTCAGGTGTAGAGTTGTAGGGGCTTACAGTAGGACACAGTAGGCATGAACTAGAACAGCTCATGCCAAGTGACCCAGGTGGGGTGTTGACAGTGTCTGCTACACAACTGGATCTTGGCTGATGCTTCGCCTGACCTACCCATCCTGGCCAATGCTTTCTTGCAGGGCTTGTGCCTGGGAGGAGAACAGGTCTAAGAAACCTTTCTATACCTAACCAGCCCACTGCACACAGTGGCACACTGCCCACCCAAGGGGGGTGGGGGCATTCACAGCGTAGCGTGTTTGAGGGACACTTCCCTGGAGTTGAGCAATACACAACCTGGGAGGCTGCACCGGTGTATCCTGCCTGTTCATGGGCTCATCTCACACATGACGTCAAGGCTTGTATAGAGGATGTGCTGCTGACACAAGGCATCATTCTAGGCCAGGAAGTAAATTAATAGTAGTAACCACAGCCAGCAAATAATGGCATTGGGCTAAATGCTTTTATGTCTTCTCATTTAATCTTTATAACAAGGCAGGTCCCACCATTAACTACATTTTACAGAAGAGGAATTGAAAACTCAGAAATGTGAAGTATTGGTATTATCAGTAAGTGTTTTTTTAAGCTTTTCCTTTCTCTTACACCTGCCATCCCTCCCAAACTGGGCATTCAGTTCATCTTTGAACTGGTCATTCCCTTAGTTGCTAATTTAGTAAGTGCTTTTCTTCTAGAACCCCTTATTTATTTATTTATAGACAGGGCTTGAGGGCAGTGGTACCATCAGAGGCTCATTGCAACTTTCAAACTCCTGGGCTCAAGCGATCCTCCTGCCTCAGCCTCCCAAGTAGCTGGGACTAGAGATTCACACCATCACGCTTGGCTATTTTAAAAAAAAAATTTTTTTTTTTTTTTTAAGAGACGGAGGGGGTCTACTATGTTGCCCAGGCTGGTTTCGTACTCCTGGGCTCAAGCAATCCTCCTGCCTCAGCCTCCCAAAATGCTGAGATTACAGGTGTGAGCCACTGTGCCTGGCTAGAACCCCTTCTTAATGAGCAGTATGCCTCCTGGTGTTATGAAATCTTTCTCATAATGCATTGGAAATTTTTTTTATAGATTAGTAAAAATGCTTTCTTGTTTTCATGTTACTTTATTCATACCTAATAAGTGCTTTCCTTAGTTTTCTAGTAACTAGGTATAAAAATCATGTGTTGCTTTACAGTTTTAAAAATACTTTAGATATTCTTAAATGATGAGCCTTCTTAATGTCACTGTCTTGCCAGATTACTTGTCACTTGACTAAGACTGACCATCTTTACCTCACGCACATGGATAGACACTTCCTGTTGTTGCTTTGCCTAATAATGTTCCTTTGGGTCCGTGAGGTTCTGTAAACTGTGCTAGCACTAATGATGTTCTGTCCAACTTTTTTTTTTTTTGGAGACAGAGTCTTGCTCTGTTGCCTGGGCGAGAGTGCAAGTGGCATGATCACAGCTCACTACAGCCTCCAACTCCTGGGCTCAAGTGATTCTCCTGCCTCCACCTCTTGAGTAGCTGGGACTACAGGTGTGCACCACCACACCTGGCTTATTTTTCCATTTTTTGTAGAGATGGGGTCTTGCTCTTGCTCAGGCTGGTCTTGAACTCCTGAGCTCAAGCAATCCTCCCACCTTGGCCTCCCAGAGTGCTGGGATTACAGGTGTGAGCCACTGCGCCCAGCCAGATGTTCTGGACAACTTAACTCACTGGGAAGAATACAGTGTTGGACCTTTCAATGAATAGAACAAAATTTTTTAAATTGACAGTTGCAGAATTGTGGTGTTTTAGAAAGAAAGGAGGGAGGGAAGAAGGAAAGAAGGAAGGAAGGAAGGAAGGAAGGGAGGGAGGGAGGGAGGGAGGAAGGAAGGAAGGAAACGTGATGTGTCTTGCCTAAGCTGTCACCGGGGGAAAGGGCCAAGGTGGAGGATTCCAACCCAGGCTGCCTGAGTCCAGAGCCCGAGTCTCACCCTGTGCAGTCGCGAGGACGTGTGCATGACCCACTGCCTGGGACACAGGAGGGGCCTGGTGATGACTGGTTGAAGAAATGCATTTGCAGGTCCACAGAGAGCCCTGCAGTCACCTCTCTGCCCCCACCCAGCCCACCTTATAAGGAAGACTTGTACTTGTGTCCCTCACCTTGATATGATTTTATTTTCCTTTTCAATGAAGACAAAAACTATCACCACAAAAGCCAAGAAAAGGGCATATTTTCCCCTCATCCTCAGGCTGTGCACAAAGTCCCGGCAGTCCTGGGGCAAAGAGAGTCCTTTCTCCATGGGAAAAGGTGGGGCTGTGGGGACTCCTCGGGCCGGCCGCGGACACTCAGCTCAGGGGCATCACTCAGGACCTGGCTTGTCGTCTTCAGGTGGGGGACACCCTCGTCCTGTGGAGAGACAGGTGGTCAGGACACCCTTGTCTATAGACGAGGAACCTAGAGGATGCTTCTCCACCAGACTTTTGAGGACCCCCACCCTGCTTAGCAGCCAGGACCCCAGACCCATTCTCCAGACAGACTATGCCCCCAAAAGACCTGAGGTCTCTTGAGAAGGTCATTTAAAATGCTAACGAACTCTCCAATTCACCCATCCCACCTCCATCAATTTCTCCTTTGACCTCAAAGGGCAAAGGCACACATATGGAAAAGAATATTCCTTGCAGCATAAATATTTACAATAGCAAAAGATTGTAGACACCTAAATAAAAAATGGTGTCGCATCCATGCGATGGATTATTATGTGTCCACAAAGACTAATCAGGTGGCTCTATAAATGCTAATGTGAATAATCCACAAAATACATATGTAAAAAAAAAAATCAAGGTGCAGACACAGTGTTTTTATGTAGAGCAGGGTTTCTCAACCTTAGCCCTGTTGACATTTTGGACCAGATAATTCTTTGTTGTGGGGGCTTGTCCTGTGCGTTACAGAATGTTTAAGGGCATCCTTGGCCTCTATCCACTAGATGCCAGCAGCACCCCCCTGCTCATTTGTGACAATCATAAACATCTCCAGATATTGTCAAATGTCCCCTGGGGGTGGGGAGGTGGGGGGCGCAGAATTATCCTAGGTTGAGAACCTCTGATGTAGTATGATCCCATTTGGAAAAGTAGTGGGAAAAATATAGATGCTGGATACAAACGGGCTGTGACTACGGGGACACACAGGCGTGGTAACCATGGCTGCCTATGGGAAGGGGGAAGGGTGGGTGGAGTGAGAAGGGTGGGTGAGCCTTCTGTCTACTGGGTAACATTGTGTATTGTTAGACATTTTACCACGTGTATATATAAATTTTTAAAAGTTAACTAAAGAGAAAAAAAACACCATAGCACATACATTCTACCAAAATCCTTAACATGGCTGTAGTCTTCAGGTCTCTGATTTCTGGGCAAGCTAGGTTAGGGCTCCCTACGGCTCCCCCACTGTGCAAAGACTTCCATTAGTACCTGATGCTTTGTCCTAAAGTGACAACTGTTCAATGCTGAATATCCCTTCGCAGGGGAGGGCAAGTGTGTCTGGGCCTCTCATTATTCCTTGTCCTGGGCTAGGATAGAGATACCCAAACACAGTTGCTGAATGGCAGATGGATAAAGCAATAAATGACCCTCAACTAAAGCCATATGTATTTTTTAAAGCCGGAGCATATACAGCATTGCCCCATGGAGCCTGGTCACCATTTCCTTCATTCCCCCTCATCACCATCAGCAGCATCACACACGCCCTGTCCCGCGCCAGCGCCCCAGATGCCTGCACAGGCCCCTCTTCTGAAAGTCCATCCCCCTTCTCCACCGGGACACTCATGCATGGGGACCAGCTGCTCCAATTTGGAGTTTGGGAACATCTTACTGTGACCTGGAACAGGGCACCCGGCTCTTACTTGCCATTATTGCTTGTCGCTCGTTTTGGAAAAGATGGATTTTTCCCAAGAGAAGTGGCTGATGTTGACACAGGGGAGCGGGAGGGCACAAAGGAGGGTCCCAGGGCTGTACTTTCATCATGCAATGAAGTGGCTTAGGGAATAGCCAGAAAAATCTGTCCTTTGGGGAAAGCAGTGAGGTGGGGGTTCCAAATGTGGGTAAGCAGATGGGCACTCTGGCAGCGGGAGTGGAGGTACCCCGCTGTGCTGGGGCGGAGGGTGCTGGGGGTACTTCCTGAGTATGGGTGGGTAGAAAGGGGCCCAGGAGGGACAGCCACAGGCCAGCTCCAGGGCAGCTGGAATAGACCTACCTCTTCCTAATTCTCCTGGGCCTTTTCTCACAAACTCATTAAATTAGTATTTCCTGAGCCCCTGCTATGTGCTGGTCTCTGGTCTAGGCATTGGGAATACAGCAGTGAACAAGCAGACGTGGCCTGTGCCCCCATGGGGCTTATACTTTGGTTGGGAGGGCCAAATGGAACGATATGGGTGGCTGGAGCTTATTGAGTGCTTACTTCTCTGGGCCAGGCGCCGTGCTAAGCACTTGCATTGCTCATCAAATTCTCCACAAAGCCCTGTTAGGTAGCAGCTAGCCCATTTTACAGATCAGGAAACTGAGGATGAGAGAGATTAAGTAATCTCTTACTTAAGGTTACCCAAGGTTGCTCCAGCAGCAGCCCCTGACCGCCCCTCCCAGGTCCAAGTCACTTGAATTTCTTGGTGTACCCCAGGCACCCCCATGATAGCACTTTGGTGGGGCTTTCCAGTTGAGTGTTTGTGCTCCCCTCCTAGACGGCAAGCTCCCTGAAGTTGGGACTAGCATCTAGATGGCACCTGGCACATACCAGCTGTCTAACAAATCAGTGGTGAGCAAGTCTGTGGAGGCTGGTGCCTGGCATGGTGCCTGGTGGGCTGTTGGCATGAGTGTGTAGGATGACCAGTGGGGCCACATTCCCCGTGCATGCTGTTTAGCCCGTCATGGGTGTGAAGCCACCTGTCCCATTGAGTGGGTGAGACCTAACACTGAGTCTTCAGAGCACAAGGTGTTGAAATCCTGACTTTCTGCCCTCTTGGCTCTGAGCTGCAAGTTGCCTGGGTCTGATGATGTGAGGGAAGCAAAAGGAGCTTGGGTCAGAAGTGCTGGGTTCTAGTCCTTCCTATGCCTCTGCCATGCTGTGCAACCTTGTGTAAGTGACTTAACCTCTCTGGGCCTCAGTTTGTTCCCCTGCTCTCTCCCTTCTGGGTCTAGCACCTGGGTAAGATTTAGAAGTTGGGTTGCCTTCATGACTCACTCCTGAACCTCTTCCTACCCTCCCTTCCAGGGTCTATTTCTATTGTTGAGTTGCCGTCCCAGCTTCCTCAGCCCCAGAACAAGACAGGGTTCTGAAGATCCTTCCTGACATTGCTGCAAAAGGAAGAAGCAAGGATTTCAAGCAACTCTGATATGAAACACAAGGGCAGGCTCTTGGTTCCTTTGCCCTGCCCCAGGCAGGCTGCCCCCCTGGCTTTGGAAGCCTAGTAGGGCAGCGGGTGAGGGAGATTTAGAGGTTCAGACATGGGGAGGGGGGTGTGTAGTGGGGATGAAAGAGGTCTCCAGGGCTAGGAGGTGGAAGAGGGTCATAGTGCCAGAAGTCACAAGGTCATGAAGGAGGGGACAGGGCCCAGATGGGGGTCACTCAGCAAGGGCCCAGGCAGAACCCGCCCTGCAGGAGGCTCTCTGTAAGAAGTGGGCCTGTGACATCCATGACGCTGAATGAACCTTAGTGCCACCTCCTTCCCAAGCTGTACAACACAAGGGCTAGTTCTGCCTCCCTTGCTTGGCTCATGAGAAGAACTGAAAAAATCTCTTCCTCCTCCTTGAGGCGTGGCGGATACCCCTCCTGGCCTCGAGTACTCGATACTTTTCATCCCTTCAACGCCCCAGCAACTATGTGACAGTCCAGGAAAAGGTGGCGTTCCCCTGCCTGTGTCCATTCGGAGGCCACATTTGCGGGCCACCAGGGCCAATGGTGAAGAATGCCAAGGGCAAGTGCCAGCCCAGCTCTGCCTGGGTGCCGTGGGCGGGGGACAGCTCCCTTGGCCCCGTTGTGCCCCGTGCTCCGCCCGCACGTCGAGAGCAGACACCAGAGGCAGGAAGAGGAGCACAGCGCTGCACAGCAGCAACCATCTGGTGAGTGCACGCTGTGTGCCAGGCCCGGGCAGATGCCGGGAGTCGCCCCAAGGGCTCAGTACCCGCGCAGCCCTCCACTGGGACTCGGACTCGCACACCACCTGTAACTACCATACGGTTCTCAAAAGCTCCGTCATTCCCTGTCTCACTTCCTCCCACCTCTCGGCCGGTTCCACCTGGCTTCTGCCCCCATCCCTCCCCGTCCTGAGAGTGTCACCAACTCCTGTAGCTCTAGCGTCGCTGCCGCGAGGCCGGTTTGGGTCTCCCCAGCTCCAAGCTGCGCTGCCCACACACTCCCTCCTGAGGCCCGCGGCCCGCTGGCTCCCCCACACCCCCCCTCCTCTTCCCTCCTGCCTCTCTGGCTTTCCCAGGCCCAGCCTCCTCTCTGGGAGCACACGTGGGCAGTCCTCCCACCGGGCGGGTGAGCACCTGCTCACAGCTGCGCCGTCACCCAGCTCCTCAGCCACATGGAAGCTCCCCGGAGGCACAGACAGTGCCGGTACTGCCGGAGTAGCTTCTGCTTAAAACACTCAACACTCTGCTCAGTAAGACACAAGCCCTCCAAGGGCCTTTGAGATCCAGACCCTGCTCACCGCACCCACCTCTTCCCGAGACCCCCGCCCCTGCCCTTCCTGCCATTCCCTGCCCAGGGCTTCTGCACAGCTGGTCCTTCTGTCTGGCAGGCTCTTCTTCCAGACCTCCTCTGGATGGCTTCTTCTAAGCAGCCAGGACTCAGCCCAAGTGTCCCCTCTTCTGGAGTCCCTCCCAGACCCCTGACCCAAAGGTGACCACCTCCCCTCCCCCATCTCCCTCGGCATTGCACTTTATTTCTTCCTGCAGAGATGGAAATGTGCCATCGACTGCCTCTTTCATCATCTCCATGAGGACAGCTTCACCTGTCTGCTCCACCTTTGCATTCCCAGAACTGTCCCTGGCACGGAGCAGGTGCTCCCTAAATACTTGTTGAATGAATGAATGAATGCCTTTCCCAATGCATTTAGCCCAGTGCAAGATGCTTAATCATTCTAAGTGGACAGACAATATGAAGAGGAAGAAAGAAAAAGCAGTTGCTCCACATATGAGGGAGCCACGTGTCCACGCTGCGAGCATGTGCTCCGAGCATGTTTCATGGGCCCTTCAAGGAACTCGTGCTAGGCATGTTGCTGGGGACGGGTGCCATGGGTGCGTGCCTGGGGCACACTTCAAACTAGGGGCTTCCTGTACTTCAGTCTCTTGAGTTCTTTCAGTGCCAGCCTCTCCCAGCTGTGTGCTAGTCAGGGGGAGGGCAGAAACAGCCTAAGG